TAAACGAAAATACAACGAATCGCAGTAATATAAATACAAACAATAAACCTTAATGATTGAGACAAAAGAGGAGATTCCATAGGAAGGCTGTAGGCTGGTGGTGCTTTGAAATCTATGGTGCTGAATTTATTCTCTTCGATCGTTGTTTATATATATCTTTTTATTGTCAGTCCCTATAGTAGATAGAGGAAAATGCCCGGGAAGGGGGGTACTCCCCTATATTCACTATACGGGGACGTGCCGCCAGCTAGGGTATCGTTTTCAGCGATTTTACTCTGGAACTGGGTATCTGGGTATACTGGGTATATATGCACTTACAGTAACCTGGACGAGGACCGCCGTAGGTTGGGGGGTTTGTATAAAAAACCTTTTTCTAGCAGACTATGTCATATTATGTTATGTCGTGACCATGTTCTACACCCTTCAGTTCTATATTTTTTCTTTCTCCATATGGACAAATTTTGAGATTTGACATTTAATTTTAACATACCATAATATTAAATGAAATACAATGAATGAGAATAATATAATGCAAACAATAAAACTAAGGCTGCAGATGAGCTGGTGGTGTTTGGAATCTATAGTTCCATGTTGCATTGAACTAATTATTCTCATCGATCGTAGTTTATATATATATCTTGTTAATGTACAGAAGAAAATGTAGAATACCCGTGAGGGAGTGCTGACAAAGAATCTGGGGGATTGATGAACGGGGAACGAAATGTGCTCGGGGAGKAGTGACGAATATCACACTGTTCRCACTATGACGTCACAATATCTGTGAGATATCAGTCACCACAGCTGATTTGCAGACGCAGTCGTTAAAAGAGGTTGAACATAAAATTTTTCAATTTAATAATGGTTTTAATGTTAAACCTCTTTTAACGACTGTAATACAAATGTTATTACATTTATGGTAATTGCTGCCGCAGCGTAGCGAGCCTGAGCGATTATACAAAATTTAACCCTTGTGTATCACAGAAAATTTGATTGAAAGGTGTCTGTTTTGTTGTTTACTACTAGACCACAATAGCGTTGCAACAGTAGCGGGAACTCTAACAACGAATGTGCCCAGACTACCGGGGGAAATGTCTTATTTTAACACCACTCAAACGTTAAATTCCCCGGTATTCCCCGGGGAGCGGGGGTTTCAATTGACTAGTGCATTATGAGGACCGTCTTAGAGGACATAAGGAGCTACATTACTTCTGATGTAAAAAGGGGAAAGGTGCTGGGTGCTTATACCTATAACATGAGATATAATGACAATCTTAATATTCCTATGTGCAGAACTTCTACCGCGCAGCGTTCCTTTTTCTTCAGGGCGCTTAAGTTGTGGAATGACTTAAAGATATCGAAAGAACATAGTTCACTTAAGTCCTTCAAGAGATCTTTAAGATACATGATGTCATGATCCTACCCCATTAGTATTTATATCTTTACTAATAATTGTAATTTTTATAATTATTGTAAATTATTATAAATAGGAAATTTTACTCTTAATCATCATTGTAATTTTAYCAGTTTGTACTTATGTAAATTTGGAAACTATTGTAAATTAGGCATGAAAAGCCATTTTTGGATTGCTTAATAAAATTATTGTATTGTATTGTATCGTTCTTCATGGCTGCACGGGTGCTGAATTGCGAAACTGGGACGCATCTCGACGCGCTCTCAAGCCGAAGTGCTATATTAAAAACACATTTTACATACACTTACACATAGGCGTCCTGCCGGCTAGGCGCTTCCTTTACATAGCAAGAGCTCTCACCTCTCGGCGGACATGCCCTTGCTTCCCCAATCAACAACTACAACTTGCGTTGCATCGTCTGTTTAACAAATAGATCTCATTTTTCCGTGTGTGTGTACTCTAATAGATACACAGATGACGTCAAAATGTAGTGAGAACAAAAAAGTACGCACGAGAYGCAGTCGAGTGCGTGACTGTTGTTCTCACTACATTTTGACGTCATCTGTGTATCTATTAGAGTACACACGCACGGAATAATGAGATCTATCTGTTTTATACAACAAACAATTAGTTTTGACGAAATCCGTGTATCTATACTTTGATAACACACGAAAGCCAACCAATCAAAACGTCTGATTTTACTGAAAAGTTGTATAAATGTATATATTTCTTACTAAATATTATATTATCATAGTTTTTGAGAGCTAAAAAGTGATCCCAAAGATCCGATTGATCGCTGACCAAAGCACAGGCAGCCCAAGCTAAGCATTTAACTAGCAGCTGCTATACTTATAGCAATATCTATAATGCATGTAAATACGAATTTTTGTGAAAGAAAAAATAAGTAAAAAAACATTTGTCTTACCTTATGATGTGGTCTTAGTTATGAATTTAGGCGTAATTTTTCGAACTTTTCGTTTTTCACTGTCAAGCTCAGTGCTTGGGCTACCTGTGATCCCAGCATCTTCTTCGTCACTAACCTTAGCATCTGTTGGAACAATTGCGTTAGTTCGTCTGCATATTATTTATAAAAGAAATAAAAASGTCTATGATTAGAAATAATGCATCCCATCAAGGAATAACGCCATGTAATGATACCTAGTTTATGTGATTATAATTCTAAATCCACGTTAATCGCCTGACGAATGCAATCATCAAAAACATATCTATATATATAACTATTTCATGAGGTATATTTTGTCAATTGTGTTTAGTAGGACAAATTATTCGTCGACACCTATAGAAGGTGGTGTGTTGAGCCGCTGAGCTTCGAAGTTTCGAACTGGGATTAATACTGATTGGGCGGCGGCCTGTTCAAGAATGAGAGCTTGATCATGATCATTGATATACGTATATCCATTTTAGTAGCATTTTTTTTACCGCGTTTTTTACACTGTGTATCCASTAGTACAGATAGTGCAAATTCAATGCCTATTCATTTCTTGTATTTCGACTTTTTACATTTAAAACCTGCACTCCTCCTGATTCAGTGTTCAATCTTGTTAGRTGATGAACTACACCTTTGATTATATCGGTGGAGTGGCGAAGTAACAAGTACCGAGAACTGATTTGAAATATCTTCGTTACCCTCTCACTGTAAGAGAGGSTGGCTAAGCATTATAGTTGCGGCTATTTACAAGCCTCAAAGCGAGCTATATCCACCATTGTGCAGATACTAGTGAGTACAACTCAACTCTCTTGAAAACTAAACTAGAGTGAAAAGAAATGCATACAGTTAAATGTTGTTGATCTGCCATTACACAGCGGTCTCTTTTTCACTGCTCATCAATCTTCCCTCATTACATCGTGTAATTAAAATGAGATCAATTTCATTGGCTAAATTCCCAAGAGATTTTAACTCTGCCACCCATAATCCGGTCCGCTTTTCATTGACTGCTTTTAATTTAAGGGGCCAATTACCTAGTAATACAATTACATTTGTCTGTTCTGTTATGTACAGCCGAGTTAAAACCCTTGTTGATGTTCCATTAACTCGGAGCACCTGAGAATCACTTTTTTTATATAAGTCATTAATTGAAGTGCGCTGGTAAAATGTTTCCTATGAGACATCGTGAAGTAGCAACAAAGAGATCACGCAGTTATACAGACCCA